AAAATCCCATTTATATTCGGTTTTGTCCAAACAAACAAACACAAGGTTTTCTAATTATGTGTCAGTGACCGCAGGTATGTTCACTGTATCTGCGCTGTAAGGGCTTTCTAAAGGATATAGCTTCGATTATTTATGACAAAATAATATTAACTAAAGAAACATCTGTAGTCAGTGAGAGGTGATACAATTTTGAACTGTTGTCACTGCCTCCTTTGTGTTTTTTTCTGTTAGATGTTTGTCTCTCTCTTTCTCTCTCTTTCTCTTTCTCTCTCTCTCACACACACACACACACACACACACACACACACACACACACTATACAGCGTGATAACCATTTTGCTGTTTTGCAGTCTTGGAAGAATGACGTACCTCATATCCGCGCGTTTAAATCAGGTCTGCCCCATGTTACCTGCCTCAGGTGAGTACCGTGTTCAGTGGGACACTGCCTGTTAACAAATGGCTGTACTTGCTGAAGGTGTTTGTAAGGGTAGCCTGCACCGCAGGGCTCTGGCCTACACATAAGGCAATATTTATTTCAATGTGACGTCGTTATAATCTTTCCTAAAACAATTCAAAACCGAGTAAACATAACAAAGTAATTCTGGGTTGTTTATGAGATGTGATATTAAGCATATAAAACACGTAAAGAAGACGTTCGTGCATTAGCATCTTATAAGCTAGTGACCAATTGGACCGTTCGCTTTTTTCTTTGTAACTGAAGGCACAGGTTTACCTGAGCTGTTTTTCATCGTCTCTCCATGTTTGTTCATTTCAAAGTATTTCCACTGCTCCTCATCTCTCTCTGTAGTATCTCACTATTATATGATTGTCCCATTGTGAGTGGTGTATATATCTTTGACTTCCAGTTGGTGGCGCAGTCGCACGTTTATATGAGCTACTAATGATGAGTTGAACGTGTTGCTGCGCTGATTTACTGAGGACACATGTAAACGATCAGCTGTCGTTAGTACGTCCAACAGTGCTTTGTCAGCATACAATCACAGGTTGTTTTGAGGCTGAAAGTTTTTACTGAGGATGCATGACGTCAACGAATTTAGAAAAGTTATATAGATATGGTTTTTATCAAATGTGAAAACATCAAGTCACTGTAACGAGTTAGTCATTGTTTAATTAAAAAAAATGTTTTTAAGTGCACGAGTAGTTACAATGATGCATCTACTACTTACCAAGCACAACTCTGAATAATAATAATAATAATAATAATAATAATAATAATTTGCACGATTTACACAATTTACACAAACACATCCTTTCACGAAAAGTTAAAAGTTTCGCAATTTAGCATCGTCAAGTTTAGTTTAAACTTACAAAAGACCATCTTGATCCTTTTTGCCATATTCAATAATCAGAGCCATAAAACATGAAAGTCTTGATCGTGCCAGATGTGTGTGACACATTTCATAACTTTTCAAGCTTTCCAAACCCCACCACTTCACATTGCAGCGAGCCACAAGGGCAAAGATTCAGGATTTTACTTAATACATTTTACACCAACATAGATTTTCTTATAGAAACTGTATCACAAACTCTTTATTACTGGTTGAATAAAGGGAATTAGTGTAGACAGCTTGAGCTAGGAAATTAATAAAGCAATTAAGGTAATGTTATTCAACCAACAGCAGCCTTTTAAAGGAACGTTTTAAAAAGATTAAAAGATTTAATAATTGATAAAATTATAATGTTAATTATATTATGATAAAAAATTGGAGGATATGCCCTCTGAAGTCTGAGAACTACTGCTTTAAAGTCAAAACTAACTTTCCAAATATTTCTAAAAAGGACTGTCATGAACCAAGCAGCCAGGAACACACAGGCACAAATGTAATCTTCAAAAAAAAAAAAAGGGTTTTATTATGCCTCAAAAAGGACAAGATGATTCCAAAAATTCAAAATGACAAAAATAAACTTTTTTTTAAGAACCAATAAAAGAGGTTAACTTAACAGAACTCTACTCAAAAGTCACTTAACAAAACATAACTCAACAAACTGACCTGCCCAAATGAGAAACAGCTCCAGTTATATAGCAAATGAGCAAACCATTATATACACCCAAGGTGAAAACTAGAGATAACAGCTAACCATCATTCAAGAAGATCCCCATTCCCCCTACACGATCACAATGATGTGATGGTCCTGTCCATTTTATTGGCTTTTGCAATTAAACCAGCTCCACCCTCAGCCTCCTCTTTCAGCCAAACCAGGAAGGACTGGAGCGGAGGCCAGGTAACTCAGAAACAACAGAAATGTAATTAATATAACATATACCCATATAAAATAACAAACAATGCAAAACAGAGTCTATGCCACCCTTTGGACTATAGCCTAGTGCCGTCATGCATTACAGGTAAACTCAAAATATCAAAAGTTAACTTATGATCACAGAGGCTTTAGATCATAATGTAAACATAAGACAAAAAGATCAAATGAATATTACCCAAGTATTTCTGTTGTGTGGTTGCATGCAGCCATCACAAGGACAACCCTACCCAGTGGTCCTGTTACACGTATAACCCCAGAAGATCACAATTTATCTGAGTTCTACACTGAAATGGAAAATGTATGTGTATGGGTGCATCAGGTCAGACAGGTACTGCAGGGCCAGGGCATTGAGGGTTTTTTAAGTGAGAAAAAGGATATAAGTAATGCGTGATGTGACCAGGAATCAATGGAAATTTATGAGGGTGGGGGTGATGTGTTCCCAGAGCTTGGTGCATGTTAGAAGCCTAGCAGCTTACCTGCTGCTTTCTGGCAGGTAGCTCCATGCCCTCCTGGGTTTTAAATGCACCTTAGAACACACATGCATCAACACTACAATGAGCGGGTGGAGGGAGGTTTGGAATCTTCTCTCACCCCCATTCTCTGCGACCTGCTGGAGCGGGGGGGCTAGGAGGAGGAGTTGGCCGTCCGACTGCGGTCTGGAGTGTGGGGCCTCCCTGCTGCTGCGGAGTCGGGGCGGTCTGCCTCTCCCCACCGCAGGGAAAAGGGTAACACCACCTGGGTCTGGGTGCAGTTCCCCCTCCAGGGGCAAGGGTACCTAGACCCGGTTCGTAGAGTACGCTTGGGGAGTGTGATCGTGTGTACAGCGTCTCTTTATGTCTGTCTCCACGTTGGTTGAGTGTGGAGTAAGTGCATATGAGAGCATGAGGGTGGGAATGGATGTTTGTATATGTGTGTGCCTGTATTTCTGTGTCTATATGTCAGGTTGGGTGTCAGGCGCCACCTCTCTGGGGACATCTCAGGCCCTCCAAGGTTTGGAGGCCTATCTCCACCTACCACCACTTCCCCTGCCAGTGGCGGACTCCCTCAGACATCGGTGCGTTGGTGGTTCTTTGTGTCCGGGGATGGGCGTCCAGGTACACACCGGCTCACTCCTTGGCGGCCGCTTATCGGGGCCTGGAGCCTGGGGCTCGCTCAGGCCACTTCGGAGGTGGGGTGCCCCCGGCCTCTCGGCCTGGGGCTCGGTCACTCAGGCACGGCTGGCTGCCGGCGGAGCTCACGGGCGCGTCACTGCAACTCCCCCTGGCTTCTGCTCCGCGGCTGCTGAGTGAGCCCTCATCTGGTACTCTCCTCAGCTCTTTCTGGGACAGTGGCGCGGCTGCCCCTCTGTTGGTCTTCCTTGGTCTCTTGTGTTCTGGGGGCCTCTGGATGTCTGGAGTTTTGATCTCCTCCACACCTGCTTCATGCCCTGGAGGACGGGGCTGTGGCCCCCCACACCCTCTAGCAGATCATTACATGAAGGAACCTTTAAAAAAATAAGGTCCATGCTCACAGGTGTACACACGGGTGATCACACCCACAAACTACACCCTTTCTGGCTCCTACCTCAAAGCACACTGTGTTCTGTTGATCTTATGTGCTGCACAATAATGTTTAATATTTAGTATTTACTGTTATATTCCCATATATCATTGTGATGCTGTTTATTCTATTACTCTTGTTCTCTTCTGCTTTTTTTCTTTTTTCTTTCTCAAATCAAATCAAATTCAAATTTATTTGTCACGTACACAGTCATACACAGTACGATATGTAGTGAAATGCTTGGACAACTGCTCGTGACCTAAAGAGAACAAAAAAGGAAAAGGCTATGAATAAGATAGGAAATAAATATGAAAAATTAAAAAGGGTAAATTTAACTAGGAAGGAATAAAATATAAATTAAGGTTAAAAATGAAATAACTGTACAACACAAATTAGAATGAAGGGTGATCCAGGTGATTGATATATGCATTTTTTTCTCTCTACCCATTCTGTTGGTTTATGTTTTTTGCCCTTCTCCCCCGTCCCTCTTCTCAGCTGTTTCTCTTTCCCTCTTTCTTTCTCCCCTTCTTTCCCCCAGTCAAGTCTGTCCCGTATTCAGTAAGTGAAAATAAAATAAACAATAAAAGGTGAATCAAATGGACCATTACGGCAAGGCTGGGATGGTCAATTTGGTAAAGTAAATCCGTTGGGCATCTTTCTTTGCCTTTAGACAACAATTCTGAAGGCAAAAGAGCCAAACGGGACAGGAAAAAAAAAAAAAAAAAAAAAAGCCTAGCAGCTGAGTTTCTGGACATACTGGAGCCTGTCCAGGACTCCAGGACCTCACTGCAATAATCCAGCCAGTTGGTGAAAAAGTCATGGATGAGGGTCTCTGCTCATCAGGTGACATTTCATTTATATGAGACTGGAATGGAAGTGTGAAACTCAAATTGTCACCCAGATTGTGAACTTCTGGGGATAGTAGGATGTGGCGACCGACTATGTCAGTGAGTAGATCGGCAATCTTCGGGAGTACGGCTTTGAAGGCCACAACAATAAGTTCTGTTTTATTACTGTTGAGCTTGACTAGGTTAGATGACATCTGTGTTATAATTGCAGCTGACATGACCAAACTCAGCCTGCTAACCAGTTTTTCAACAGCTGAAGCACAGAAAATGTGAACACTGTGTGCCATTCTCAAGTCCAATATCTTTTTTTTTTTTTATGCTGACAGGGAGCACTTTTTTAAAAAGCAAAATATTTATTTAATTCCAAGAAAGCATGGAGAAATGAATGCAGTATGTCATATATGCAGACTATTCAGAAAGCTTTACCTGCCATGTTATTTGTGTCATCATTAAATCTATCTTGACTCACACACTGTCATTGTGTGAGTAAAGCAAACTATCTCACTGATGCTGTTTGACTAAATAACATTTAGCAGGAGAGGTTCGATTACACTCTGTAATGCCAGACGGACACAAACACGTACACTCAAAATATACTGTAACGTGATATGCTTGCATTAATATAAGCATGCACTTGCTTTCAGTTTTTGCATGTGTCACTTTGAAATAGAAAACACCCAGCGACTCACTACAATGCCTTCTCATCACACACCACCCAGAGCATGTAAATCTACCCTGCAGCTCCCAGTGCAATGCTGATCGCACTTTGCGTTTTCAAATAGCCGTAAAAAGGTCTGACACGGTGTAGTCTGAGGCTGTTCCATCGATCAGGCCTCTTCCCTCGTTGTCAACAAACCAGCAGGCGATGCTTTCTCCATTCTTCACATCCTTGTTGAAGTCTTTTTGCCAGTGTCTACAGAATATATAGATGTTTTTTTTCAAGGATGATTTGCACATACATGAAAGGAAACTAACTTTAAGGCTGAGTGAATATTATGCACACTTCTAAAATTTAAGAAGTCGCCTCACCTTGTCACATTCAGCCTTTGCCCCTTCACGTACATGGTGGCATCCAGTTTCTCCTGGCCTTCACCTGGATGCAGGTCTGTCAGCTCAAACACAACCCCACGGTAGAACTGACCTGCAGGAAAATAGCTTATGTGACATCTTTTGTTTCTGTTTTAAGAATTAGTTTTTAGTAAAAACAAAAGAGCTACACCAGGTGTGTCGAACTCCAGGCCTCGAGGGCCGGTGTCCTGCAGTTTTTATATCTCACCCTAGGTCAGCACACCTGAATCAAATGATTAGTTCATTACCAGGCCTCTGGATAACTTCAAGACATGTTGAGGAGGTCATTTAGCCTTTACGGTGTGTTGTCTTGTATCAAGGTTACATCTAAAACCTGCAGGACACCGGCCCTCGAGGCCTGGAGTTCGACACCTGTGAGCTACACAGTCACTTTATTACTATATCAAAGCTTCTTGCAGTTTAATACCTAGCAGACCATGAACTGAAGCAGACAAGTGCTGGCTGTCCAGAGTGTAGAAACCCAGGTAGTCTTGGTGGTCGTGGCGTCTCTTCCAAACCTTTGTGTGTCGGATGACCCTGAATTTCACTGAGTGCCTCAGCGTCACTGTCAGACTGCAGTTTTTAACTAGGTTGAGCTCCATACTTGGTCAGAGGCATCCAAGTTGGAAAACACATGAAAAAATGAAGGAAAAAAACTAACGTCATTTGCAAATGTGATTAAAGTACATATAGTAATTAGTGGGACTGAAAAATGGTTTAAAATATTTAATAATTTCAACTTTACGCATGTGTTTTGCCTGGGGATTTTACTCACTTGGCATCTCTGAGTGAGGTGGCATCAGACCACAGCAGCTTGACCTGCTTGTCATTGTACAAAACAGAGATATCCTGAATGCTCACATCCAGTCTCACCCCCAGGTTCTGATGTGTGATACCAAAACGGCCAAAGTAGGTGTTCACGTTACCATCCAGAGCAACTTTCTTCTTGCTAATTATTTGGCCATTCACCACAAAGCCTGAAATGAGGGAGGATAATGAATTTGGAAAATTTGAAAAAAGAAAATTCTCCCATTAGAACGAGTCCTTTAGTATCTTCTTGATGCATGCTCAATCGTCCAGGTAAGTAAATCCCCAAAGTTTGATTCTGTTCATCTGGACGTAGTGGGAGAAATGTTTCATCTCTCATCCAAGTGACTCAGCTGACTGCAGGTTTCCCCAATCTTATAAACAGTACATTTGCATAATGACTGAAACCAGCCCACTGAAGGAACAATAGGCTGGGAGGTCAGTTCCTTGATCATTACAGTAGTGCTAGTTTCAGTTGTTATGCAAATGTACCATTTATGAGACTGAAGAAGTCACTTGGATGAGAGATGAACCGTTTCTCCCACTGAAAACGCTACCTCCAGATGAACAGAATCAAAGTTTGGGGAGTCCTTCAGAAAGACTCAGGACAGACCTGATTTGGGGTCTCTGACCAGACTGAAAATGGTTCCTGGTTTGTCGTTGATGTTGAAGCACAGAGCGTCGTTTTTATCTGGAAGCTCTATCATAAAATGGGGATCTCCATCAACTGCAGCAAATAAGTCTAGAAAAAAAAGGTATATCTGAGTAAAAAGCTAATTTAATTATTGAGCTGACAGGTGTGTTATTATAATAAAACAGAGTCTGCACCAACAGTAAAACTATCTTACCTGCCCTTATGACAGCAGTGTACAGCCTGGTTTTTCAGAATTAAATGTTTTCAGTTAAATACACTTACTTAACATTTTATTAGGTACATCTTGGTAGTACGAGGCTGGACCCCACTTACCTTGAAAGCAGCCTTAATTCTTTGTGAAACGTGTTAAACAAGGCTCTGGTAACAGTTCTCAGACATTTTGGCCCAAATTGACATACCATGACCCCATTAATACATTAGTATTACTAATATTGTAACATTGTATTTGATATGGCAGATGTCTTAAATAATGACGGTCAAAACATTCACAACTCCTGAGTTTCTTGAGTCTTCTATGAATGTTTTCATTAACTGTATAAGGAAGCTGTAATGCTTACCTATTATAATAGCATGAAATGAAACAAAAACAAAACAAAACACTGAAACCACCTGTCAACTATTTAAGTCCGTAAAAATGTTACATATGAAACACTTACGATCAATTACACGCGAGCCGACAGCAGGCGATGCATGTGCACCTGCTAAAAGCACAGTTTCCTTCATATGCATTGTGCAAGTCAGATAAGATAAGAAAGGCTTTACTTTACCCAGATTTGGGAAATTCTTCTCTTATAGCAGTTTAAAAAGTAAATGAAAACACATTAAATTCCATTCAAAGACTTCCCATACCCATGTGTCTTTCTGCTTGCTGTCGCTGGCCTGTAAAATAGGAAAGAAATGAAAAAGAAAAAGTTATTTTTGCCAAAGTGATGGGAGAAGAATGTTTCTGCTAATTTAATAAGCGGTGGATTTTCTTTCTCCTACTTTCAGTCAGCTTGTCAGCAATGAAAGAGCGATCAGCTCCATTCTCGTTTTCAGGCTTGGTGACCACCAAGGATGTGAGAGGGGTGACAAAGTTATACTTCAGAGACAGGTTCAGAGCCTTGGCTTCTATATTTCCTCTCTCCTCTTTAGTACTGAGAGCACTGGAAGAGAGACAGAGGACAAGATGGACATGACGTTAATAATTTATTATGATGTATAACATAATGTTTAACGGAAAAAAAAAATCACCATCAATAAAATTTCTGCACGGTAACAGAAAAATTTCCCCATGAACCAACCTGTTCTCCAGCTGCTGCTGGATGGTGAGGTAGGCCCACATACGCTCAATGAAATCTCCAAAAATGTACCCCTTTTCTGGGTACACTGTCTGCCAGTCAGCCACACTGGCCTTTCCCTGTGCCACAAAGTTCTCTTCAGACTTGTTAAAAAGGAAAGATTAAATGACAGACATTATTCTGTGCAGCCACTCAACTTTTTTTTTTTTTTTTTTTTAGCAAGCTGACATCAGCATGCTAATATTGTTTCAGATAATTACGTTTCATAGATATTCAATTATTAGAATCTGAGATGGTGTCGACAGTGTTTTCCAAATCTGCAGAGTAACTGCAGCATCTAAAGTTTGTTCAACTTGCTGGCTAAATAACTCAGCTTACAGTAAAGTACATAAATATCACATGAGCTTTGAAAATGGGCCTTTATCCCATCATCCATCTTAACACATTTTATGACTTTAGCATTAAACATTTTTCTTATTCCATATATTTATTTATTCTTTAAGTCTTTAACGTAGGGTCTTTACCTTACAATATAAAGTGTCTTGAACTGACTATTGTTGTGATTTGTCGCTATATCATCATTAATTGAATTGAACACCACACACAGATTTGTTTTCATTTTAGTTTAAAGAGTTGAAGTTCATGAAGCACTTACAGTTGGTAAGGTGGGTAGATATATGCTGGTAGGAACGTAGTACTAACTTTGTCATAGTTGTTTAAGGTATTTACACAGATCTGATCTTATAAGCATAAGTATTATGCTTCACATAAGTATAAAGATGGATGAAAGCCACTAGCTTAGAATCTTAAGTTGAAAGCAGAAAAGAATGAAAAGTAATTGGTAAATGGCCTGTATTTATATAGCGCTTTACTAGTCCCTAAGGACCCCAAAGCGCTTTACATATCCAGTCATCCACCCATTCACACACACATTCACACACTGGCGATAGCAAGCTACATTGTAGCCACAGCCACCCTGGGGCGCACTGACAGAGGCGAGGCTGCCGGACACTGGCGCCACCGGGCCCTCTGACCACCACCAGTAGGCAACGGGTGAAGTGTCTTGCCCAAGGACACAACGACCGAGACTGTCCAAGCCGGGGCTCGAACCGGCAACCTTCCGATTACAAGGCGAACTCCCAACTCTTGAGCCACAATCGAGTAATGAGACTCCACTTGATGTTCGGACTACAACAGTCAATTACAGCTCGGTTCATTTACAGTTCGTGAAATTCCATATTCAGCCACAGTAAGACTGAATAATAAGGCTCATTTGTATGAGCACTAACATAGATCTGAAGTCAAACTCATGTTGTAAAGGAAATACTTTAATAATGTGCTCTCCCTTTTCTCACCCCGTGGGCAAACACTTCCACCGAGAAGTTTTCCACGTCATTTTCCTTCAGCTGACCAGCGACCACGATCTCTGAGCCGTTGAACAGCTGGCTGTAGTGAGTTTTGGTTAAGAAGTCTGTATTCTCTGAATAACGCAGATCCACCTCCAAGAGCAGAGGGCTGGACACTTCCTCGTAGAAACCCTGCAACAAAGACACAAAATTGTTGCCATTTATGTAAGGCACAAACTAGCATTTCTACGCTTGCATTGATTTTCATGTTACAGTCATTAACGTTCTTAATTTCTTGCCTTACCTTGAGTTGAATGGCAGCATCTGAACCCTCAAAAATTCTGCGGGCCACTCCTTTATTTTGCCTGCACATAACATCCAGGAAGGAGTAATCCACATCATTTCCAAATCCAAGACAGAACAGAGACATGATTCCTCCAATAGCAGAAAATACATTCTGCTGGATTAGCTGGGGGCTGGTCACCCCTGCAGACACAAACACACTTACATATGAGCATGCATTAAAAAGCTTCCATTTCCAATGAAATTGTCGAGTTGGGTGTCAGCTTTACATAACAAATCAGTTCCATCTTACTCCCTAACATTGTTAATATTCATTTATATGCTATTATAAATGAGTAAAAAAAATGCTGCGGGATACAGGTTCCTCTCGCGTTCTTAGCTCAGGGTGAGCAGGTGGGTGAGCTGGTGGTGGGCCCAGCAGTTGCTTCGTGGCTTCCTCCGGTGAGCACCTGCCAGCCACATGCCGCTCCCACCTAAGGAGTGGGGATGGGTGAGGCAGCAGGCAGCGTCCTGGCTGATTGCAGGCCCCGCCCCACCACCTACCCCCATCGCCTGACTGAGGCCGCTGAGCCTGGCGGCCCTCCCCCTGGGAGCCGGCACGGGCGCCGGAGCAGCCCGGACCCCTGTCTCTCCCTGCTGTCCCATACGTGGATCCACCACAATTTTCAACACACAGAATGTTTAAGATTGTCTCACCACTGTTTGGCATCCCGTCAGTCAGTAGAAAAATCATATCCATACTCCTCTCTGGAACTTTCTTTTCTTTTCTTTCTTTCTTCAGCAAACTAACTGCATCCAGTATAGCACTGTTGATGTTGGTGCCTGAAAAGCAACAATGCTTTGAGTAACATGAAAATCTCATCATGTTCAAACTTTTACTTTACTCTTTTACTTGTTAAGCCTTGACCAAAAGATTGATAATATTCTCTCTATGCAGTATGACTGGATTCTGTTTAATTAGACTATAGCTCTGTACAAAAGTTCTGAAGACGTTTATTAAAGTTCTGAAATGAAAACACCACCTTGATTGTTTAATCTACACAAAACCTAAAAGTGTAAAAAAAATAATATTACTCTGTTTTCTATGGTATTTTGAGCATGACTCTTTCTTGGCCATGGCAGCTACTTCCTGTAGCTGTCTGTGGTCACTAATCATTGAATTGTTCTTTGTCCAGAGTGAAACAATTGTACAGGATAATTGTTTAAGAAATAAATAAAATTAATAAATTTCTCTAATCTACACATGGATAAATTATATATACATACACCTGCGTAATATTGGATTAAATATCACTTAGCAAGTTGCACCTCAACTAGATCCAATTGATAGCCATCAACAAGCTTCTGGCATAATTCTATATCAAATCACTCTTCTTAGCAGAATTGGTACAGTTCGCTTAAATCAGTTGGTTTAGAGGCATAAACCTTTAAAATGTAGCTCACAGATTTTCAATAGGGTTTAGGCTGCGGCTTTAGGAAGTTAGAAAGTTAATTTCAGAAGGTCATTGTTGCCCTGCTACAAATATTTTCCTGTTGGAACACCCGATTGTGTCCAAGTTCAATCATTTAGCAGCTGATCTGAGGTGAAGTTGAAGAGTTTGGAGGTAATCCTGCTTCTTCATTATTCCACCGATGTTGTGCAATGTACCAGTACCTCTTGCAGCAAATATATGATGATCACCCTGCTTGACAGCCTGTTCCGTGTTCTTAGGTTTGAAAGCCTCTCCTTTACTTCTCCAAATATTCTTCTCGTCATTGATATCAGATAGCTCAATCTTTGTCTTGTTTGACCATAAAACTTTTCCCTAAAGAACATCTGACTCGTCCATGTGGACTGCTGCAAATTTCATTTGAGCTTAAAGATGTCGATTTTGGTGCTGGGGTGTCTTTCTTGGTCGGCACCCTCTCAGTCCTTGATAGTGACGGTGGTGTTCCAGCAGTCTCCAGTTCATTGTAGCCTTGAGCCTTTGTGGTTTCTGTGACGTTCCTCAATATTCTGATGAATTTCCTCCCATCTGAAGATGACAGTTTGGGTCTTCTTACCAGTGTTGGTCAAGTAATCATGTTACTTTACTGATTACTTATTTTCAAAAGTAATTAATTACTTAGTTACTTTTTAAAAACATGATTTACAACCTGAATAGGTGATAAAGCGATAGATCATTCAGCCCAATTCTACTTTTTCTGCATAATCCATCATACAAAATGTAATCAAATGGAAAAGTCTTTTTAAAACTTGTTTTATTAGTTTTAATCCTTTAGCTTTATGCATCAAGCAAAAATGTAATTATATGCAACATTCTCTGACTGGAAACCTATTTTCAGCACATAAAATATTTTTTTGTGTTTACACTCACTCTTTCAAATATTTGCGAGGAAAACCCAGCAGAAAATAAATAAAATCAAAGACTAGCAGTCCTGTTGCTCTATTTTCACCTGTAAAGCAGGAGTGGTGTAGGCGGAGGTTTACCCTGGTGCAGGTGTGCCGCAGCGGTCAGTTGAAGAATCCGCGAGTTTCTCTGTGAATTTCCCATTACGTCGTTGCGCACTCGGTGCTTGCTCGGAAGTTTAGGGGGTTTTTTTCGCTGTAAAAAGAAGTTTTCTTCCCACGCACAACGGACACTAATGTTTTTGTCACTTTTTATGGAATCAAACTCAAAGTAAGGTCAGTACTTCCACGCTTTAAACGCTGCACGCTCATACTCTCTCCGTACTCGATATATTATCCATTGTTGATCTGCACACAGCTGTTGCCACGAATGTCACACTCGCTTAGGTCACTGTCATGAGACATTCTCAAAAAAAAAAAAAAAATAACGGTTTGAGTAACACAGTGTTCCTACGGGAAAGTAACGGTAATCTAATTACCGTTTTTGCAATAGTAATCCCTTACTTTACTCGTTACTTGAAAAAAAGTAATCAGATTACAGTAACGCGTTACTGCCCACCTCTGCTTCTTACAGACCTTGGCAAAAAACTTGTGCAATTGAAGTGATGATCTTGGAATCTGCAGTCGCTTAGAAATTAGCCCGAGAGACCTTCCCGATTTGTGTAACTCTACACAATCTTCGCTGAGTTCCTTGTATATTTTCATTGTTCTGAGTATTGTTCAATCCAGTGAGGGATAACAAACTTTTTTTTTTTATACTGGCAAAGAACTAATCAGTCATGATGACTAACAAGAAGTTAAAAGGTCTTGGCCTTGTCAAAACAAGATTTAAATGGGTGTATGTATACTTTTGCCCCAGTGTGGACTAAAGAAATTCATAAATAAATTAAAACTTGTCTATTTGTTTCATTAAAGTATGCCATACAATCAATCCACACTGGAAAAAGAATAGTTTAGAGAAGTCATTAAAAGCCCAAAATTACCATGAAATTCATGCCCGTGACGACTATGTAAACGTCTGATTACAACTGTACATGTTTAGTGGCAACCTCACACTCAAAACTTGACAAAGTTGCTTGTTTTAGCTATATAACAGTAACAGAGCAGAATGATGCCAGCCTTGTTGTGCAGTTGTCAATGACCCAGAATTTTGCCATTTTTCACTCATTCAATAATGCAGATAATAAGCAGAATAAAGAAAAAAAAAATCACTGTACATAAAATTCAGCAATACTTACTTCCACTGTCCTGTATTTTCTTTACATAGTCAATGGCGTCAGAAACATTTCTCTTTGTTGCTTTGGTAAGATAATCCTTCCAGTAACTAATCTTACGCTCAAACAGGAGGATACCAAAGTGGTCCTCTTCGTGAAGGTCTTGCAGAATGGCAACCATTGATTCTCGGGTCTTTATATGTTTACAAAACATACATGGAGATGAACACACTGTCATGCATACAGTATGTAATTTGCCTCTAATTAGTCCCCTACCTGTTCAATCTTTGCTCCATGCATCGATCCACTAGTGTCAATTACATACACCACATTCTTTGGGACTCTGGCCAGGTCAGGGGGAGAAAAGAAGTGCACAAAGTATCCATTTACTGCCTGAAGGGAAAGAGTACTTTGGGTTAAGATGAGCAAGGAAATGTATAGCAGACAAATACAGCTAGGGAAGTAAACGTAAGACTAAAAGCAAAATAATGATTGCAGCTTCCAGTTCTATAAATAAAACTGCTGTCTATAAGAGTGTGTTTGAGATCAGTAAAAATTCTGTGCTTTAGCTGAGATAAAGGCTGCTTGTGTGCTGCTTTAAGTTCTGTCTCATCAGCTGACCTGAACTTCCCCCAGGCTTGTTGCTCGTTTCACATCATACTTGATGATGAAATCTCCATTAATTAATGAGCCCTTACAACCTGGACATTTCTGTTGCTGCTCCACTGTTGGTGAGAATGAGATGTGTGCCTGAGAAACAGAAAAGTTTCATTTCACTTTAGATTATTGTAGATATATCCTTTATACCTAAATGCTACATTGTAAAAACACAAGGACAGACATCTTGCCAAAATATCACCTTTGTGTCTGTGACAGTTTTCTCTATCAGAGGGATCAGCTCATTGGTGAGGAACGTTGCAGAAGCCTCAACAAAAGCAATGCCTTGAGGCTCATAGATGTCTGCCTCAATCTGTCACACCATCCATGGAAGTAAATGAAGCATAAAAGAAGAGGTCATTATGGCGTAAAGACTCACTAAGTCAACGCAAGTTCCTTACACAAACTACTTCAGACAGCCCATCATTAATCATCATGAAGAACAATAAAAGTGAAAAGTGAGTCCTACCTGAAACTCCTGCACTGGTTGTTCTACTTTGACTCGGATCAAGATCTCATAACTGCCCAGTGTTCTCTGAAGGAGCTCCTCGTAGATCAGAATGAAAGACACGCTGCTCTGGGCAGCAATGTTTACAGATACAGAAAACATTTCCATCTTTCTTCCAGAAGCCCTGCAATAATAGATATGGATTACATTATTGCAGGTTAAGGGTGGAGGTTGGGATGTTTAATCTTTATCTTATTCCAGTATACTTGACAAGTCCAGCAGTCTTTCCAGAAGAAACAGCCTTCTCATACTGCTCCTTGGCGCTCTCTTTCTCCTTCACCTCTCCAACATACACCTGACCATCAATTTCCCTGTGACCCACGAGGATATGTGTCAACATTAAAGGAGGATGCGCTCTATGATCATTGTCAAAAATGCTGTACTATTGACTGACATGCTAAAGTTGGTGATGAAGGCCATCTTGGGCAACTCTACTTCAAAAAAGATTTCCTGGGATGAGTTCTCCTTGTTTAGCGCCTTGGAAGACATGACCGTGTGTGCGAAACGAGACGACACTGTGCAGGTGATTCGAATGCTTTGCACTTCCACCTTTTGAATAAATGGAAAATGTAATGTGCTGACAGAAAAAGATTATTAGTGTAGTTCAAGAGAATTATTGTTAGGTCTGTCTGGCACAGACCCACCGCTGGAACGAGACAATTCTACTACAACAGCAAAAAGCATTGGACACCAAGCAGAGCTCTTTGTTTGATCTCGTGCACGAGGGAGAGAACTGTGACGAGCGCCATTCCTTCTGCTCGAACCCCAGTTGCTCTCGTGTGCTCCCTCGTAACACTGCTCTTTATTGTGGTAACATGGATATACATAAGTTCATTAACATGACGTTTTACAAAGGTATATATGTGAAGAAAGAATACCTTGTCTGCGTGTACGTGTGTGTGTGTGTGTGGTCAAGATGTGACCCTGTGAAGACTCCCCAAAGCTGGTGCCAGGAGTCCAGCGGTCCACCTAAACAAAGGGCTCTTATACTTAAGCAGATACAAAGTAGGTGTCCTCCTATACCATAAACCAGTAAGAGAAGGTACGACCGCTCTCATGACCTTAAGATGTGTGTGTTTGCCAGAGTGCTCCGGGAGGCACGCAAAGTCTTTGCAGACTGCTAAGGATCAGACCTCTATCATTATGCAATCGATTATAAAACTAAGTATATGTGAGCATATATTTCTAAGCATAAATGACAACCCACATGTTAACCCAACAATTATAAAATTTTACAACAACCAATTTAATAAAAGCACAAGAAAAATTAAAAAGTATTTGCCTCTTTCTTGATTTTTTCATACCGTATTTCTCACACTTACATGCTTCAGATCATGCAGTTTATAAATGATGATTTAATTTATTAAGGGAGACAAAGTTATCAAAGTTATTAAATCCATTTGGCTCCCTACTCTTTCCCTCCTAATCCTAATAACTGGTTGCACCACCCTTGGCAGCACAAACTGGAATCAAGCATTTGTAATAAGTGGCAATGAGTCTGAAATCACCTCGCATGTGGAGGAATTTGGCCCACTTTTCTGAATTATTTTCATTCAGCCACACTGGAGGGTTTTTGAGCATGATCGGCCTGTATTGCTTTTTTTTTTTGTTTGTTTGTTTGGGGTTTTTTGAGCCATTTGGACTTGCTAGTATGTTTCAGATCATTGTCCTGCTGCATAACCCAGGTGTGCTTGAGCTCCAGAGAATGAACTTTGTGATCTTCTGGATGAGTTGTTGATGGCTTCTGGGGTAATTTTGGTCAATTTCTGGATATTGGCTCTCGCCATGGTTCACTGGAGTCCCAAAGCTTTAGAAATAGTTTATAACCCTTTCCAAACTGATAGATGTCACTGACTTTATTTCCCAGCCATTTCTTCAGATTATGGCATGATAATGTCATAGTTTTGTTTAATCTTTCTGCCTGCTTCACTTTGTCAGACCAGTTATACTTTTAGCGATTCCCTGATTCAACAGGTTTGATAGTTATCACACTTGGGTGTGGCTAGTGAAATTGAATACAGCTTTCCAACTAATGTTGTTAATTCATGATTTTACTTTTTCACATAAGGCCAAATAAGTTTGGTTTTTACATTAATAAATGAAATCCTCATTTAAAAATTGGATGTTGTATTTATTCTTTGTCTAATAATAAAATTGGTTTGATGATCTGAAACATTTAAGAGTGATAAATATGCCAAAAAAGAAATTAGGAAGAGGCAAGTACTTTTTCACAGCACTGCATAGCCTAGACCAGGTGTGTCAAACTCAAATACACAGTGGGCCAAAATTCAAAACTGGAACAAAGTCGCGAGCTAACGTTAATATTTATTGAAATATATTTATTCCTCCAGATATAAGAATGAATCTTTTCTTATGGACTCAAACACGTTTTGCTGAAAAACTGAATATGGAACAAGCAAAGCTTAATACTAAACAATATATATATTAGCTGTATAATACCAGTAGGCCAGCTCTAATAGTAATTTGGTGTGGCTTCGCGGGCCAAATGTAATTAGCCAGAGTTTGAAACCTATGGCCTAGACCCTAACATTAAAATTGCATGTAGTTTCTTATAAGCAGAGAGTAAATAAATACATTTTCAGTTGGCACCAGGGGGAGGGACAAGTGGGACAAGTGCAGCTGGAAGCGATAAACTTTACTGGAAGTATGGACTTAATTTTGGAAAAAGCTGGTAACACTACTGTAAGTTAGAAGCTATAAGTCATGTTGACCAGGGTCTATTTTTGAAAATTGTCCGCCTCTGTTTCTTACATTTGCAGAGCTTGAACTTCTTTTCTGTAAAAAGAAAATTGATAAATAGTTTCATGAACGTGTTTAGCAGGGTCAAAACATAAATGAATGACATATAAACAATGCACAGAATGAAGTATCAGCAAATGTGTCTACTTTCATAATTAGACACTGTGACATGAGTACCTTCATCGACCTGATGCCCACGGTTTCTTTGGTTTCCTGGAACACAGCACAGAATGACTGTAATGTTACTAAACAATTAAAAAGATGACTGTAAAAAGACAAGTATAAAAACTGCTTGTATCACCTACAACATGCAACGACACCTCTGCATTGAATTCTCAGAGCTTTATTTTAAACCATGTACCAATTATGCCAATCTGAAAAATTGGTGCTTTTGAAATATTTAATCTCAACTAAAATAACCTTCTCTACGTCTTGTAGAGGTTTTCCAGACACCGCGCTTCTAAAAGATTCTCAGATGTAAATGCAATAGTCACTCCCTGAGTTGTGACTCATGCTCTGTCCTGTATAAACTGAAGAAGTATTGTGCAATACTCAAGCGTATTTATTTTCAAAAATAAAAGCCTAACTCCAGACTACAAGTCTCTGCAAAAATGTGAAACCATGAAAGAAAACAAGACAAGAAACAAAGTTTGTAACGCTCACAATTTGAGTTACAGGTTAGAGTTATGTCTTCAAGTAACTATGTCACTTCTTTCAAAAGAAATGTTTAGATATGACACCACAGTTTTTCCCAATTTTACTCTATTAAGGAATAATGAAAAAAAAGTATGGACTGAAAAAGAAAACATTAAAACAGGAGTCTCTTTACATCCAAAAAGTGTACATAGCTTATTTAAGATACCTGTGTTAGAGCATCTCTCCTGGAAATAACCAGAGCGCCATAGGTCTGAGCTAGAAGACTGATGTAGACACAAGCAGACAGTAGCAGGACTCTCCACACCACAGGCATGTCTGGGAATGCAACAGCCTTTCCCGTGGCTGAAAACAAATGTGGAAGGAATTCTTAGCATTTGAGGAGTTTGTTCCTTCAGTGAGACTCCACCCACACTATGGTTGAAAAAGAGGAGGGTTACTCTGCTCCCACAACTGTTTACTAGAATATTGTCCTGTAAATTAGTGTGTGTGACTTCCTTAAAATAGTGTGTGCCAGGGACATTGGGAACACAAGGAAGCGAGTTAAAATTATCCAGTTCCAACTTGCCTATCCAGTGCCTGACTTGTGTGTGGGTGTGAAATTCATATTCTTTACGAAACTTTTACTTTTACAATACTTACTCACAGTTGTCTATTAAATATGGAAATATGACTCATGAAAAAAAGAAAGTAAATGTCAATAGCATGATGCTTGATAACAGCAAACATTTTAACCATGATTTTTAAGAAACTGCGGTTTTCACTTTTTAAGAATCATACGATTTTTAAAAAGTGTTTTCATATTGTGAAAAATCCTGTAAAACAAACTAAACTATAACTTTGATTTGGCGCTATATTAATAAAATTTGCTTGTTTTGAATTATGGGAGAGTTCAGGTAGAAGAAGGTGGAGGAATTATACTCTTAAAGTTATTTACAACAGACAGGCGGTTACATCAGAAAGTCATTTACAATGAAATGTATTCCCCACTTCTGTGTAATCCTTTATTGTAAATGTAAATGTTATTATGAAGTGATCAGACAAAAGAGGGTTTTCAGAGAATACTGTTATGTTCAATGTCTATGCCATATGTCAGAACAAGATCTTGAGTGTGATTACAGTGATGGGTGGGTTCTTTTACATTTTGCGGGAAGACAATTGATTCTAATAATAGGTTACATACATTTTTGAGGTTGTCATTTTTAGCATCTATTTAGGGAAATAAAATAAAAGAGGCCTATAAACCAGATAAAATATGATTAAATCCATTTGCAATCTGAAGAAAAACAAAATAAGAAAGAGTAATAAATATTGAAAAACAAGGCAATAAAGCAATAAAGATCCAGCTTGAAGATAGAAATTGAGTATAGATAACTCTATCTGAACTGTATATGGTGTACTTACCAATATAATCGTAATCCCATGAATACGACGCCCTGGGCGAATCATCATAATCATATTCTTGAACAGGGAGAACAAAAATCCAAATCAACACGAATACAACAAATTGACTTTGTCCCATAAATCTTTTTTGTGATTTATCGTTAAAAAAAAAAATCACTTACTCATTTTTTCAGCCTGCTGTCTTTGCTCTGTGAGAAAAAACAGACAGATAACAGTTTTAAACTGGAGCTCCAGCTTCTGCTTTTATACTTCACTAAAGGGGAATAATATGTGGAAAATGTAAACTCAGTCACCAGTTCTCTTTATGAATGAGCTGCAGCCATGCTTTGCTTTTGTGGTAAAGCTTGACTGCAGCCATTTCAAAGTGACACTTGACAAACACACACAACCACACGCACACACACCCCTCCGATTCATCAGTCAATATAGTTTTTGTCTCTTTAAGAAAAGCCAGTCCAGTGTTTTACATTTTTAAACTCTGTTTTCTCCAGGTACCTTCAGTCAGCTTGTCAGCAATAAGAGGGCTGCTTGTCGAGTCTTCAGTTTCGGGCTTGGTAACAACCATGGATGTGAGAGGGGTGACAAAGCTGTACTGCAGGGACATATCCAGGGCCTTGGCTGTTGTGTTGGCTTTCTCATCTGGTGTACCGCTCTTGCTGCCAGAAGGAAAATATATGTATTACTACAGGGAAATCTATAAAAGAACATCAAATGATTAAAATGAGCGTCCTGGTAAAAGAACAAGTGTCATCAAAGACTATATATCATACCATATTTCTTGAGAACAATGTGCCTTAGCAGCCAAACTGAACTGATTTAAACTGACCTCTTGTCCAGTAACTGCTGGATAGTGAGGTAGGCCCACAACCGCTCGGTAAAATCTCCAAAGATGTACTCCTCGTCTGGGTAAAAAACATCCCAGTCTGCAGCACTCACTTGACCCTGGACTCTGAAGTCTTCTTCGAGCTTCAGGAGAAACAAAAGATAAAATCCATATGAACCAGAGTAAAACAAATAAATATAGGCTATGTCTACTCAATGTCTCAATGTTTCTGCCATTTCTTTTGTTTTTCTTTTTTTCCTCACCCCCTGTCCAACCACTTCCACCAGGAAGTTGTCAAGGTTGTCGTCAATTAAATGGCCAGCCACAACAATCTCTGTGCCATTAAACAAGTAGCTAAAGTGGCTGGTGGTCAGAGAATCCACTGCATTGTCAGGATAGTGCATGTCCACCTCTAAAAGTAGAGGGCTGGCCACTTCGTCATAGAAACCCTGAAATAAAAGCATACACACACTTTATCACTTTTGCTTATTCCAATTTTCTGTTATAAATTTAGCATGAAATATTGACTACATAATTCATAGGAATATGGCATAACTGCAGTGCTTTAAATGAAGATGTACCAAACATAAAATCAAAGAAAAAATGACAATGTTTGTCTGGCGCCAGAAATCGAACCCACAGAAGGGGGGCCTGAAAGCAGAAGGTTCAGCCTCCCATTCTACTTTAAAATAACCTAGGAACCACAAGTAAGAGAGCTCTAAGTGCCCTACTGAGGTGCTAAATTACTATGAGGTCTTTAAGAGAAGGCGGGGCCTGAGTATTTAAGAGCTTGTATGTGATGTAACAGGGAGCCAATAAAGAGAAGCCAGTCCCAGAGAAATATACTCTCTCTTTTTAGTCAGTACTCTCACTGCAACATTTTGGATCAACTGAAGTCTTTTAGAGAATTTTTTAGAAGTTAGAAATGCATGAACTAGTTTTTCAACATTATTCTGAAACAGGATTTTTGAAATTTCAGAATCAGAATCAGAATCAGAATGGGGTTTATTGCCAAATGTTGAGCAGGTTTACAACATTAGGAAATTGCTGCGGTGCTTCAGTGCAAACATAGTGTCATAAATAGCACTTAAATAGACATGGAAAAAAATAAAAGTAGGGATAAGAATTAAAAGTGCTACGTGGAAAGATATGTGCATGAGATATACATGAGATATATACATGAGAATAAGAATTAAGAGTGCTACGTTGAAAGATATATACATGAGTGCAGGTGGTGATCAGTGCCAAACATAGAATGATGCAGTGACACAGCGTAGGGTCATGTGTTAGTGGCGGGTACAGTCATATGGTTATTGTTCATGTGTCCAACAGCAGAGGGGAAGAAACTGTTCTTATGGCGAGAGGTTCTGGTGCGAATGGACCGGAGCCTCCTGCCCGAGGGGAGCAGGTCAAACAGACTGTGTCCAGGGTGAGAAGGGTCAGCTGAGATCCGAGCTGCACGCCGCAATGTCCTGGAGGTGTACAGGTCCTGCAAAGATGGGAGTCTGCAGCCAATCACCTTCTCAGCAGAGCGCACAACACGCTGCAGTCTCTGTTTGTCCCTGATAGTGGCTCCAGCGTACCACACGGTGATGGAGGAGGTGAGGATGGACTCGATGATTGCAGTGTAGAACTGCATCATCGTCCGTGTTGGCAGGTTGAATTTCTTCAGCTGCCTCAGGAAGTACATCCTCTGCTGGGCTTTCTTGATGACGGAGGTGATGGTGGGCTCCCACTTCAGGTCCTGGGTGATGGTGGTACCCAGGAAGCGGAATGAGTCCACAGAGGTGATGGGGGTGTCAGTCAGGATGATGGGGGGGAGTGGGGCTGTGTGCTTCCTGAAGTCCACAATAATCTCCACTGTCTTCTGGGCATTCAGCACCAGGTTGTTGTGGCTGCACCAGGACACCAGACGTTCAACCTCCCTCCTGTAGGCAGACTCGTCCCCGTCCGAGATGAGTCCAATAACGGTGGTGTCATCTGCAAACTTGATTAGCTTGACAGACTGGTGGGTGGAGATGCAGCAGTTGGTGTACAGGGAGAAGAGCAGAGGAGAAAGAACACAGCCCTGAGGGGAGCCGGTGCTGATGGTCCGGGAGTCCGAGACATTCTTTCCCAGCCTCACATGCTGCTTCCTGTCCGTCAGGAAGTCAGTGATCCACCGGCAGATGGGATCAGGCACATTCATCTGGGAAAGCTTGTCTCGGAGATGGTCTGGAAGGATGGTGTTGAAGGCAGAGCTGAAGTCCACAAACAGGATCCTGGCGTAGGTTCCTGGGGAGTCCAGATGCTGCAGGATGAAGTGTAGGGCCATGTTGATGGCGTCGTCTACAGACCTGTTGGCTCTATATTGATTGATTTCGCGACAGCAGGATGGCTGCTGCGTTTGCTTCGGATTACTCCTCACCCCCCACCCGACCCTGTGGCTTGTCACGTGTTCCATAATGTTGTGCTGTGGACATTTGTGCTTTTTTCCCCCAATTCAATTCAATTTTATTTATATAGCGCCAAATCACAACAAAAGTTGCCTCAAGCCGCTTCATAGATACAGAGAAAAACCCAACAATCATATGACCCCCTATGAGCAAGCACTTTGGCAACAGTGGGAAGGAAAAACTCCCTTTTAACAGGAAGAAACCTCCGGCAGAACCAGGCTCAGGGAGGGGCGGCCATCTGCTGCGACCGGTTGGGGTGAGAGAAGGAAGACAGGATAAAAGACATGCTGTGGAAGAGAGACAGAGGTTAATAACAGATATGATTCAATGCAGAGAGGTCTATTAACACATAGTGAGTGAGAAAGGTGACTGGAAAGGAAAAACTCAATGCATCATGGGAATCCCCTGGCAGCCTACGTCTATTGCAGCATAACTAAAGGAGGATTCAGGGTCACCTGGTCCAGCCCTAACTATATGCTTTAGCAAAAAGGAAAGTTTTAAGCCTAATCTTAAAAGTAGAGATAGTGTCTGTCTCCCGAATCCAAACTGGAAGCTGGTTCCACAGAAGAGGGGCCTGAAATCTGAAGGTTCTCCCTCCCATTCTACTTTTAAATACTCTAGGAACAACAAGTAGGCCTGCAGTGCGAGAGCGAAGTGCTCTAATAGGGTGATATGGTACTACAAGATCATTAAGATAAGATGGGGCCTGATTATTTAAGACCTTGTATGTGAGGAGCAGGATTTTGAATTCTGGATTTAACAGGAAGCCAAAACAGGAGAAATCTGCTCTCTCTTTCTAGTCCCTGTCAGGACTCTTGCTGCAGCATTTTGGATTAACTGAAGGCTTTTCAGTGAGTTTTTTGGACATCCTGATAATAATGAATTGCAGTAGTCCAACCTGGAAGTAATAAATGCATGAACTAGTTTTTCAGCGTCACTCTGAGACAGGATATTTCTAATTTTAGAGATGTTGCGCAAATGAAAGAACGCAGTCTTACATATTTGTTTAATATGTGCGTTGAAGGACATATCCTGGTCAAAAGTGACTCCAAGGTTCCTCACAGCGTTACTGGAGGCCACGGTAATGCCATCCAGAGTAAGAATCTGGTTAGATACCATATTTCTAAGCTTTTCAGGGCCGAGTACAATAACCTCAGTTTTATCTGAATTAAGAAGCAGAAAGTTAGCAGCCATCCAGGTCTTTATGTCTTTAAGACATTCCTGCAGTTTAACTAATTGGTGTGTGTTATCTGGCTTCATGGACAGATAGAGCTGGGTGTCATCTGCATAGCAGTGAAAATGTATGCTATGTCTTCTAATGATACTGCCTAAGGGAAGCATGTATAATGTAAACAGAATTGGTCCTAGCACTGAACCCTGTGGAACTCCTCAGTGTGTGAAGAGGACTCTCCATTTACATGTACAAATTGGAGTCTATTAGATAGATATGATACAAACCACTGCAGTGCAGTACCTGTAATACCTACAGCATGTTCTAATCGCTCTAATAGGATATTATGGTCGACAGTATCGAATGCTGCACTAAGGTCTAGCAGGACAAGCACAGAGATGAGTCCACTGTCAGAGGCCATAAGAAGATCTTTTGTAACCTTCACTAAAGCTGTTTCTGTGCTGTGCTGAGCTCTGAAACCTGACTGAAACTCTTCAAATAAACCATTCCTCTGCAGATGATCTGTTAGCTGTCTGACAACTACTCTTTCAAGGATTTTCGATATGAAAGGAAAGTTGGAGATTGGCCTATGATTAGCTAAGACTGCTGGGTCTAGAGATGGCTTTTTGAGTAAAGGTTTAACTACAGCCAGCTTGAAGGCCTGTGGTACATAGCCGATTATGTGCCGGGGTGGCTGTAGCTCAGGTGGCAGAGCAGGTCAGCCACTAATCAGAAGGTCGGTGGTTCGATCCCAGGCTGCATGCCAAATATCCTTGGGCAAGATACTAACCCCGTGTTTGCCTACTGGTGGTGGTCAGAGGGCCCGGTGGCGCCTGTGTCCGTCAGCCTCGCCTCTGTCAGTGCGCCCCAGGGCAGCTGTGGCTACAATGTAGCTTGCTATCGCCAGTGTGTGAATGTGTGTGAGAATGGGTGAATGACTGAATGTAGTGTAAAGCGCTTTGGGGTCCTATGGACTAGAAAAGCGCTATACAAATGCAGGCCATTTACCATTTACCATTATTAGAGATAGGTTGATCATATTTAAGATCGAAGAATTAATTAATGGCAGGACTTCTTTGAGCAGTTTTGTAGGAATGGGGTCTAAAAGACACGTTGATGGTTTGGAGGAAGTAATTATTGAAGTTAACTCAGAAAGATCAACTGGAGAAAAAGAGTCTAACTTAACATCGATGGTACTAAGAATAGCTGTAGATAATATTACATCTGTGGGATGATTACTGGTAATTTTTTCTCTAATGATAAAAATTTTATTTGTGAAGAAGTTCATGAAGTCATTACTAGTTAACGTTAAAGGGATGGTTGGCTCAAAAGAGCTGACTTTTTGTCAGCCTGGCTACAGTGCTGAAGAGAAACCTGGGGTTGTTCTTATTTTCTTCAATCAGTGACGAATAGTAAGATGTTCTGGCTTTGCGGAGGGCTTTCTTATAAAGCAACAAACTATTTCTCCAGGCTAAATGATGATACTCTAAATTTGTGACACGCCATTTCCTCTCCAGATTACGAGTCATCTGCTTTAGGGTACGTATTTGAGAATTATACCACGGAGTCAGGTACTTCTGATTAGAGACCTTAGTTTTCACAGGAGCTACAGTATCCAGAGTCGTACGTAGTGAGGAGGTAAAATTATTAACAAGATAATCGACCTCTGTTGGAGTAGTATTCAGATAGCTGCTCTGCTCTATGTTGGTACAGGGCATTGAAGATGATAACAGTGGGTGGATTATATTCTTAAACTTAGTTACAGCGCTTTCAGAAAGACATCCACTTTGATAAAGTCTACTCTCCACCGCTGTGTAATCAATTATTGTAAATGTAAATGTTATCAGGAAATGATCAGACAGGAGAGGGTTTTCAGGAAACACTGTTAAATGTTCCGCTTCTATGCCATATGTTAAAACAAGATCTAGAGTGTGATTAAAGTGGTGGGTGGGTTCTTTTACAATGAGAGAAGCCAATTGAGTCTAATAACAGATTAAATGCCATGTTGAGGCTGTCATTTTTAGCATCTACATGGATGTTAAAATCACCCACAATAATTATTTTATCTGAGCTCAGAACTAAATTAGATATAAAGTCTGAGAAATCAGACAGAAACTCTGTGTAAGGCCCAGGTGGACGATAGATGATAACAAGTAAGACTGGTTTCTGAGTTTTACAGCTGGGGTGGACAATGTTAAGCATCAGGCTTTCAAATGAATTAAAAGTCTGTCTTGGTCTTTCATTAATTAATAGGGTGGTGTGAAAAATTGCTGCCACACCGCCCCCTCGGCCTGTGCTTCGAGATTTCTGGTAGTTAGAATGACTCGGGGGTGTTGATTCATTTAAACTAACATAATCATCTTGCTGCAACCAGGTTTCTGTAAGGCAGAGTAAATCAATTTGTTGATCAATTATTAAGTCACTTGGAGGAGAGAGACCTAATATTTAATAATCTACATTTCACTGTTTTACTCTTTGGTTCAGATGTGGATACTGTATTGTTCTTTCTTTGTAATTGTTTATGTTTAAGTTGTTTGTTGCTGGTTTTTAGTTTGTTTTTTGTCTTTTTGGGAGCTGACACAGTCTCTATGGAGACGGGTTTTTGGGGGGGGGGGGGGGGGGGGGTAGCGCAGGAGGAGAGAAGCTGCAGAGAGGCGTGTAAGACTGCAACTCTGCTTCCTGGTCCCTTGTGCAGAGGAGTTTTTTTGTTTCCTGTTCTCATGCTGTCCTCCCAGGAGCCCAGCATGAGTGGAGGTCTCTTTTTTTCCCTCTTGTACTTTCCCATTGTAGTGTATATTTCAGTGTTTTTTCTGTAACGCTACCGATCTCCGACCTGTATCCCCATGTGATGCTATTTCACAGCAGGGCAACCTGCACGTGGCGAATAAAGCCTTGATTGATTGATTGATTGACTGATTGATATGAGTGCTTGTGTATAAATACACAAACAATACACATATGCTTTCAATTGTGTAATTTAAGTGATCTAGATAGCTCTGTTTTGGAAGTTCAGTTAATGCTAGAAATGCGCATTAGAATTTGTATGTGCTTTTTGTAGTTTGTACGTGTTTTGTCTCTGGGGCCACCGCATATATTTATATATAAACATATATAAATAAACCCACTTTTTTATATTAGTAATTCCTTTTGTGCATAATTTTATATTATTGTTAATAATAAATTAATTAAAGCAACAAAACAACCTGAAGAGCCGGTTCGGAGCTGAAAGAGCCAACTCTTTTTAGTGAGTCAAGCCAAAAGAGCCAGTTCTCTAAAAAGAGCCGGAAATCCCATCACTGCTGCTGCTCTGTACAAGCTGCTGGGGGGCTGTTAACGATGGCCAAGCTATCGTTGCCCACATGGACTACAGGGCTCTGGCTAGCTGCAGGATTTTCAAGGGTCTGGAGCTGGGATTCCAACTCAGTGATTCTGGTTTCCAAAGCTACAAACAGGCTGCATTTATTCTAATTATAATTTGCAGGTGATTTAGCAGAAAGTATGCTTGGATAAAGCACACGAGGTTACACTGTGGAAGAAGTTATTATCTAAAGGTTTCTAAATAAGGGAGCTACACAGATTAGTGTGGAAGAGGAACTCGCACCTGGAGCTGAGCAGCAGCATCTGAAGCTTCAAAGATTCTGCGGGCCAGGCCTTTGTTTTGTTTGCTCATCACATCCAGGAAGGAATAATCCACATCATTTCCAAATCCAAGACAGTACAGAGACATTTTTCCCCCAATAGCTGTACGCACATTCTCCTGGATCTTGCCAGTGTTGCGCTCTCCTAAAAATGCATGCATGCAACACACAATGATAAAAATGCTAAACGCAATGTAATGTTAAATGCTGAACAAACATAATCTAGCCTATGGTATGTTTGCACTCTACATACTTACCCTCATTTGGCATTCCATCAGTCAGTAATATAATCATATCAGCACTTCTCTCTGGTAGCCTCTCCATCTGTCTGTCTTTGACCAGCATGTTTACAGCAGTCAACACTGCATCATTAATATTGGTTGCTAAAAGAAAAACACAATTCATGTTTTAAAATGCATAAACTATTAATGTTTTTGTGCTGTTAGGTGTTTGTTTTTTTGTTTTGTTTACTTGTTTTTTTGTATTTCTTACCTCCTCTGCTATGTATTCTTTTGATGTAATTCATGGCTTCAGTTATGTTTTCCTTTGTTGCTTTGGTAAGTGAATCCTTCCAGGTTTCAATAACAGAATCAAACAGGATGATGGCAAAGTGGTCGTCTTCATGGACTTGTTGAAGAATGGCCAGCATAGCTTCTCTTGTCTACAAAGGGTCAGAGGATGACGTGTGTCCACGTGAACTTTGACATATTAGAAGCACATCAGGGGTCAGAACAACTTCTTACCTGCTCCATCTTTCTTCCACTCATTGATCCACTTATATCAATTACAAAGACCACATTCTTTGGGAGTTTAGGTAATTCAGGAGCAAAGAAGTGCACAAAGTATCCATTTACAATCTGAAGAAGAGACAGATTCCAAAAAGTAATGAATTTTAAAACAATGGTGTAATAAATCACTTTTTCAATTTGATCTTATTCAGTACTTGAAGCTTTCACTGACCTGTATGTCCCCAAGGTTCTTCTCTCGCTTCACATCATAGCTGACAATAAAATCTCCATCAATAAGTGTTCCATCACAACCTGGACACTTCCTCTGCTGCTCCATGGTTGGTGAGAAGGAGATATGCGCCTGAAAAGGGAATAATACATACACAATTATGATCCCAACTGAGATTCAACCGTGCAATAAAATGCAGCACAATAATCAGAAGGTTTATTATTGTATGAAGGTACCTTTCTGTCTGTGACAGTTTTCTCCACCAGAGGGAGCAGCTCATTCGAGAGGAAGGTTGCATGGGCGTCAATATAAGAAATGCCCTGAGGCTCATAGATGTTTGTCACAATCTGTTTCCACAAAGGCAAACATGGAGACAAGAGATCATTTCTAATGTAAATCAGGAAATCACCCTATGGGGGTTAAAATGTCTTAATGCAGGAGTCACCAACCTTTTTGAAAGTGAGAGCTACTTCTTGGGTAGCGATTAATGTGAAGGGCTACCAGTTTGACACACACTTCTCAAATAACAAATTTCCTCAGTTTAACTTAATTATGTGTTATCATTAATAATTAATGATATTCATCTATGTACGGACACTAATTATGTTAATTATTTTTCACCATAATTATAAAGAATGCAAGTAGGAAACAAGGTAGGAAACATAAATATCAATATGCAACGCTTTATTTCTATATGTCTCTGCAAGTATTTACATTTTGAAGTGATCACTTCTACAACATTTTCACTTACCATTAACAAATTTTAACAAATCATGCACTGTTACATACATTATTTTTGTATGTATGTAACATACAAAAAATCAACTTTCAAATTTTACAGAACTTTTCACCAAATTGGCAGCATTTTAAAGCAAATTGTCACATGTTACACTTAACAAACACATTTGTTTTTCAATAATTAAATTCAACTTTGACATGACACTGTAATGTTGCCACTGAGAACATCTAATATGGCTTTCTTTGTCTGTTAGTGGGAAACCTGGCATTGCATGCTGTTCACCAGTGTGTTGTAATCTGGGGTATAACTTGACACTGCAACTCTGAGTGAGTCTTGCAGATGTGCATCGGAGAGGCGTGTTCTGTGTTTGTTCTTGATGAAGTTCATGTCAGAAAAGGCTGATTCACAAAGATAGGTTGAACCAAACAGGCTGGCAACCTTCATAGCTGCTGTGCACACACCACTGTACTTTTCTGTGTCAACAAGGCACCAAAAGTTTGGTGCACCCAGATAGGCTTTGAGGTGGACGTCATTTTGCAATGTTACAATTTCGATTTCCACCTGTCCAGCATCCAAGCTGAACATTGAACTTAGTTGCTCAGCAATGCATGTTGTGTCCACATTCATGAAAGGATTGGAAACAAATGAGACACATGGCTCAAGCTGATCAAGGTCACAAAACCTGTTCTCAAACTCTTGACCAAGTCGGTTTATGACTTGAGTGTACTTTTCTGCAACTTTGTCAAAAGTCTCAGATGCAGAAGCATTGTCTTTCAGCACCATCTGCACAGAGGGAAAGTGCAGCACCTTTTTTCTCTGTAAATGCACAGAGAAAATGTTCATCTGGGCTTTAAATCCATTTAAAGCACTTATCATGTCAGCAACAGTCTTACCTTTGCCTTGCAGCTCACAGTTCAAATGGTTCAGTTTCCCAGTAATGTCTGTTAAAAACGCAAGGTCAAGTGTCCACTCAGTGTCCTCCAGCAGAGATGTGTCTTCCCCTTTGGATTGCATGAACTCCTTGATTTCACCCAAAAGTGACAAAAAACGAAGCAAAATCCGTCCCCTGCTGAGCCATCGGATTTCCGTATGTAGTAGCAGGTCACCATATTCAGCTGACAGCTCCTCCAATAGCACCTTGAATGTTCTGTGCTGTTTAGCTCTGGAGCGGATGCTGTTTATGATCTTCACGACGGGAGTCATGACGTGCTCGAAGCCGATCACCTTTGCGCATAACGCCTGCTGGTGAATGATGCAGTGGTAATGCATGAAGTTTGGGAACTCTGTGTCACCTTTACAGTGAGCGATGAATCCCGTATGTCGGCCGATCATAGCAGGAGCCCCGTTGGTAGTCACCGATACCAGCTTTTCCAACGGTACCTTTTTCTTCGCGAAAAACTCCTTCACCGCGTTATAGATGTCAACTCCCTTCGTTGTTGTCTTTAGCGGCAGTAGTGTCAGAAGTTCTTCTTTTGTGGAGAAACCATCAAATACCATCCGGATAAAGACCATCAGCTGTGCTGTACTGCTGCTGTCGACGGACTCGTCACACTGGATGCTAAACCAACTGCACTTTGCCAGATCCTGATCCAACTGATCGGCCAAGTTCCCGGACATAGCCGACACTCTTCTAACAATTGTAGTTGCCCCCAGCTGGACATCAGAGAGAGTGGAGATTACATCGTTTCCATATTTCTCGTCTTTAAGCACAGTTTTTGCAATTATCATCATTGCTTCTTTGAAATACTCCCAGTCTAAAAATGCCTTCTTTTTCTTAATCATGAAATGTGTAGCTCTAAATGAGGCTTCGGTTGCTTTTTGAGAGTTTTTCACCGGTCTCGTGAAAAAAGACTGCTGTTTGCTCAAACCTGCCTTTAATTCGCGGGCCTTTTCCGCTCGCAGTGTGCTGCCCTTTGGGTAGTTAGCATGGTAGCTTGTGTGACACGTTTGGAAATGTCTCTCCACGTTGTGCCGCTTTGCTGTTGCCACAGTTGCCCCGCAAATGAGACACACGCATGAATCTTTCACAGTGGTAAAAAAAGAACTCTTCCTCCCATTAACTGTGAAAATTGTGTTTTCTTCCTTTTTTCCGCCATGTTTTCCTCATCTCCTCACCTTTGCCTTTGCTGGTCTTCACGGCAACTGTTTCCGTGGAGACCAGCTAGCACTATAAATATTAGATCATGATCTAATATTTAATAATAAACATTTTTTATATATTATCTCTAACAAATTAACACCAATGCAATTGTGATTAAAAAAAAAAATAGCAAGAAAAAATAAAAATAGATGCAGCTTACTGGTAAGTTGTTATGGTGAGCTATTTTTAGAACAGGCCCGCGGGCGACTCATGTGGTCCTTGCGGGCGACCTGGTGCCCGCGGGCACCGTGTTGGTGACCCCTGTCTTAATGCATGCTCAATCATCCAGGTAAGGAAATCCCAAAAAGTTCATTTGTGGATTCTGTTAGTGTGGACCTAGCGTTTTTAGAGGGAGAAATGTTTCGTCACTCATCCAAGTGACTTCTTCAATCTCAGCTGACTGCATGTTTGTGCAACCTGGATTCACCTGAAAGTCCTGAACCAGTGTTTTGGGTTTGACTCTGGTCAAAAGCTCATATCGGCCCAGTTTCCTCTGAAGGAGCTCCTCATATGTCAGGACAAAGGTCACGTTGCTTTCAGCTGCAATATTGACAGAGACTGAAAACTTCTCCATCTTTCTTCCAGAAGCCCTGGAAATAACAACAACAAAAATGTCGCAGAGATATCTGAGAGCTGTTCCGGTGAATTTACATGATCTGTGTTTCTGGTTCATCTGGACGACTCACTTGACGAGTCCAGCAGTCTGTCCAGAGGAAACAGCCTTCTCGTACTGTTTCTTAGCTTTCTCTTTGTCCTTCACCTCTCCGACATACACCTGACCCTCGATTTCCCTGTGAGGCACAAAGATGGAGATAGACATGAGGGATGTAAAGCACATAAATGGACACCAAGATAGTGAGAAATTCAGCTTTGGAGCACAGTTGTGAAATGAAGGACTGGCCTATAAAACTGTCAGAATGATTAGAGAGGAAACAGACTAACATGCTGAAGTTTGTGATGAAAGCAGTCTTGGGCAGCTCCACTTCAAAAAAGATTTCCTGTGACGAGCTTGCTTTGTTGAACGCCTTGGAGGTCATGACAGTGTGGGCAAAACAAGAGGTCACAGTGCAGTCCACTGTCACACTGTGCACCTCCACCTGAGACAGAGACAGAAGGAAATGTAGGAAGATAAAAATGGGTTTCTCTCTATGAATCTGATTTTTTAATCTGAATTAAATCAACTCTCTCGCATGTGTAATGAATCAGCATATAAGAAAAGAGATGCCCTTTTATTTTCTGTTTAAAACACAATTGTTACTCTGCTCAGATCTTCACAAAAGCAGCAGGTGTTGCATAAATGTACAATTTATAATCTCTTGACCCTTTTTTTAAACACTCCTTGTTTGTATCACATCACTAAACTGAGCTGAGAGTATTTTACAAATTTTACCTGTGTGCTGTTCATCTGGATGGACTAGCTTAATATGTCCACCTGCTGTTTAAAGGAGTTTGCGTTCTCCTTTCATGTTGCAGCATTGTTTTGGGGGGGATTTTTTTTGCCAAACTGACCTTTGGTAACTCACATATTCCTATTTGTTTATACATTAATGAGGTCTAGTTTATATCAAGTGTAGTGTTTGAATTAAAAAAGCCTTTCAAAGTAATGAAAGGTAGGGCTGTTCGATATAACGATACATATCGGATGACAATATAAAAACATCTATCGTTTCATTTTACGCTGTCGTTTGTTTCGTGGTGTCGCAAAATAAACTGTTGACGGCAATATTTTTTCCATCGTTCTGATGGTCACTTTAGTCAGTGGCGTGTCTAGAAACTTTTTGTTGGGGGGGCCAGGTATGGGCACAGATTTGGAGAAGGGTGGCAGATGTAATTGGCAGATAATGTTAAAAACAATTCTACCAACCATTAACCATAATTCAATAACCCTATAAACCTAATAACCGAATGCGCTTTTAACGCTTATTAGAATGAGATTTTAACCACTACGGTTTTAAGATACTGCGTCGATAAAGTACAAGAGATACAATCAGTGCTTTGTCAGTGTTTATTCAGCATTCAAGGACAGCAATATTTGCATAGTATATTTACTGAGATATAGTGCACATATGTTTTGGGCAAAAACATTATTGAATATTAAAATACGAACATTTTTAACATACAATTGGGCAAATTAGCCAATGCAAAACTTTATCTGCCTGTTAAAAAAAGAAGATAATCTTCTCACAAACTGGTGTTTGATTTTGAAACGGAAAAAGTGGGGAAACAACTGAAAAGACTAACATTTGAATAAAACCTGAAAGCAAGTAAATACTTTCTATGCTGCCTTATGGTAAACTTTGGTAATATTGATGTATAAAGAACAATACTGGCTGATGATGAAATACAGTCAGCTGGCATGGTGACACTGCCAGTATTAACCTGCAGGGCTGGACTGGGACAAAAAAAAAAAAAAATCAGCCCGGGCATTTTGACTAGAGACCGGCCCACCATGTATTAAAGCCATAAAGCCTTTGAATGAAAACAAATGCTGTTGTGACAGTGATGTACAGTCTTGTTGGTATATGCATGATTTCTATACATTTTATGCCAGATAAAAACTTTGTTTGCAAGATTCAGATAATTATTTAATAAAAGTGAGACATTTTAAATGAGAATAAGAAAGTAAAGTATTTCTTTGTGCCCCCCTCTCCCTGTTAATGCCCTACCTGGCCCCCTGGCAACACTTTGCTAGATCCGCCCCTGCACAGCTATCAGCTGTCAGCTACTTAGAAAAGGATCCTGGTGTTATTTGTCTGTCAGAAACAGTTCATAACTTCCCTTCAACTCATTCATGTCACCTAAAAGGTAAACCTGTTTCTCCATCACCTGTTCAGCTCTGATGATTCAGTAAGGACATCTCCTGGTTTCATCTTCATGTTTCCCTCTCACCAGATATCCAAACCGACATCATGACCAGCAGCTTTACAGCTGTGGCTCCAGCAAACATCAGCTGATACTAGAAATTAATATTAAATAAATTCTAACAACAGCTGATCAAGCTTAAACATGCTGCTGTTGTTTAGCGGGAAATCCGCTGGTTTCCTCTTTCTGGCGCAAAGTGGGCGATAAACAAACAAGAGAGGAAAGCCGATCAGCTGAACATTGATCAGTTTCATGATTAAAGTAGGAACACGAGAGGGAGGGGGAGAGAATGAGAGAAGAAGAGGCAGCTGTGCAGCAAAGACACAGAATAACTCCAGCTTTGTGTCTTTTTTTTCATTCTAGCTGAAGTACGGGACAAACTGCGTCCCCTCTCAGCTCAATACGAAACATGTAATATTTTCTCTGAATGAGGGACCATTCCATTTTTTAAGGAGCCGTTGGCAACTCTACTAACTAACCTTATGAATAAAATAAAGTTCACTATCAATAACATCATAGCACCCACCCAGCTGTATAGAAACTCCGTCATACTAGCTAGCACGCAGAACGAGTTATTGTAACTGACTGTAAAAAGTCAGCACAACGAAAATAAACTCCACCTAAACTTGGTTTATATCTGACCCAGACAGACTGCAGGTCATAACTTCTTACCTGAAATTCAGTTCACCTGACACTTTGGCCGGCGGCCTCCTCGGGTCTCTCCTCCTCCTGCCTCCCCTTCCCTCATCCACCTGCTGGCCTCTGTGGAAGCTCCGCCATAGCCACCACCAAACAACTGAGTTATTTTTACACATCGGCCAGCATCTGGCCAGCCCACCACCTGTCATTGTTCATGCCATTACAAAAAAAAAAAAAAAAAAAAGTCATCAGGCCACTGGGTAAATGCCCGGTATGCCTGATGGCCAGTCCAGCTATGTTAACTTGTTAATCTTTTGCCGAAAAATTGTTTTTTGCGTATGCCGGCTCTCCTTCCTTTGCTAACATGATGCTCATAGTGCAGAAGCCGATGCTGCATTCACTTACAATCGGATATCTGAGCTTCACTGTGAAAACATAAATCGTACATTTGATATTTCATTGAATTTTATTGTTTTAGCTTCGGGGTGGCACCTGGGGTGGCCAGCCTGGTTGCGGGATGGCCTGTGCCCCCCCAGGCCACCCCGCTGGCACGCCACTGACTGTAGTGACTATATTAATTTCTTAAAGTTCTCTCTTTCTCTTATATTGAATATAACCACACTACTGACGGACAAGCGCCTGTTTTTATGCGTTGTCGTTAGCAACAGCGACGGTAACACCTTCGCGTGTCCGCTTGTTTATGTTCCACATAAACCTTTCACAATAAAGCTCAAGATCCTGTTGGGACTTTTCATAAACGTTAGAACAGGCTTTTCCCCGCAGCACGCCGTCTAATGAATACAAAGAAAACAGCGGCAGTTACAACTTATGTCTAAAAATGTATCGTTTCATGCATCGGTTAAAACACTCGACTCCAGGTAAAGGACGCGCAGCTGGAAATGCTTCACGCAAGTCGAGCTGCCCGAGATTCACAGAATTTACAGAAAATGTTAAATTTTTGTGATTTATATCGTTATGGGACGATAGAATTCTTATATCGGGATATGAGATTTTGGTCATATCGCACAGCCCTAATGAGAGGCTGTTATAATGAGTTTGCTCATTTGGGGAAAGTAATAGAAGACAGGAGAAATCTTTACAGATTAATCAGCAGCCCCGACACTACACTTTGATCACACAGTTTATTTTGCAGCCATCACTTCAGGTCCCTGTGAGCTTATCCACACATCCCATCGAGAACAACAAGCAGGTTTCTCTCCATGAATCTGATCTGTTAATCTGAATTAAATCAATTATCTCCCATCACCATTATCATCACCAGGAATATGAATGGATACATTTCTTACCATTGCTTCATTTGTACTTCTTTTCTGTAAGAAAAAAGGGCGATAGATTCAGTTCACACATAGTCTCTTTGTCTTAGTGAAAACACCTCATTAGGTTTAAATCACTGTTAAACTGCAGTTTCTAGTACTGCATCATATCAGCTCAACTTCATAACACAGATCACACCATTTTTTAAGACATATCTACTGGTAAACTGACAAATACATAAATATACGATGGAAATGTAGATCTTAGTGCTGCCTTGTTATTTTTTAATGTGAATCGTTTGCCAAGTACCTGCAGTGATCTGGCAGCTCCTCTTCTTTCCTGAAATACACACACAGGATATTATGGAGAATACATGAAGTAAGTTTTAAGAAAAAACTCAGACAGTTTGTGATTAAGTTTTGCTTTGTTGTTTTAAATTAAATTACAGGACTACTTTCTGAGGACAATGCTGTCAAAATCATACCAAAATGTTTTTTCAGTTTCATATCACAAAAGTGTTTGACGTTACCTGTATGGCTTCATCGTGCCTGGAGATGACCAGAGCTCCTGAGGCTGAGCTGCTCAGCCAGAGGCAGGCGCAGCCCCACAGCAGCAGCAGGCGAACACCCAACAGTCCAGACATGATCAAACTCTGACTGAACACTGGCTGACTTCAGTGCAGAGCAAAACTCTCAGTGTCCTGTGGGAGGGACACGTATCTGTGTGTTTTCCTATATTGACCAGCTGCCCTAAGCTCAGTGTCCAGGAGGCTGTGAGGTGCTGTGAACCACAAAGATAATATTTGCTAGTTTGTGGAAGTCTGGGAGAGTGAATCCAATCGACACTTATTTAAACACTTAGCAAAGTGACAATAAAATCGACATCCATGGTTTCAAGATCAAGAAAGAAATCTGAAAAAGTTGGTTCTGTTCATCTGGACGTAACGTTTTCAGTGGGAGAAACGTTTCATCACTCATCCAAGTGACTTCTTCAGGCTCAGCTGACTGCAGGCTTCCCCAACCATATTGACAGAGACTGAAAACTACAGTGCTTTCTTCCAGAAGCCCTGTAAACAAATAAAAACAAATTAAAAGTAAAAACACAACAACAACAACAAGACTATCACACTATCACACATTAACAGCTCCAGTTAATTTGTACAATCTGTCTTTCTGGTTCATCTGGACGACTCACTTGACGAGTCCAGCAGTCTGTCCAGAGGAAACAGCCTTCTCCTACCGTTTCTTAGCTTTCTCTTTCTCCTTCACCTCTCCGACAAACACATGACCCTCAATTTTCCTGTGAGGCACAAAGATGGTGATTGACATGAGGGATGTAAAGCACATAAATTGACTGCATGATAGTGACAAATTCAGCTTTGGAGCACAGTTGTGAAATGAAGGACTGTCCTATAAAAACTGTCAGAATGATTAGAGAGGAAACAGACCAATGTTGTTCCCTAAAACAGGGGAAATAGTGAGGAGAAGTGAAAGAATGGCACGGACACGCAGCTCTCACTCTCACGCGTCTGTATATAGTGACAATACTTTACATAACATTAACGGACAAAAACATATTTTTAACTTGCAGATGTTAGCTGACACAGTCACGAACTTTCCACAGCAATGAAATAATACTTTAAGTACTGCATGTCGTTCAGTAGTTAACTTTTACAGACAGTAACAGAAAAAAATCTTCACACAATATGGCGGAGTAATAGCGAAAACAAGCATACACAACAACAGAGGTTTTCAGCAAAAACAGTCCGCAATTCACATCTTCCGCTACAACGAAAAATGATGATGGGCTAATAAGCAACAGTAACACATGCTGCCACGTTTATACAGATCTGTGCATGGCACTTACTATAAACAGGGGAAATAGTGAGGAGAGCCAGATCTTTGAAGTGAGCGACGCGAAACCGCTCCCAATGGATTTTTATTATTTTTATTTTCCTCACGCTCTCTCTCGCACTTTTTTCCGCTTCTTCTTCTTCTTTTACGTATTATTGGCGGTTGGCAAACAACTGCATGGTGCATTACTGACACCACTGGTATGGAGTGTGGACAGAAATCACGCTAAAAAACAAAACAAAATAAAAACAAACAAAAAAACCCACTTCATATCCTCCCAAACAACCTTCCTTCTCTCAAAAGCTGAAACAATGCCTGATAACATTTATCCCCTGACTCCTTCTGCAGTAACTCTACAAGATCAAGTTTCATAGCAATGCTACTGAGATTTTGGACCAACCGTCTCCTCTCTACCGTATAATTCCGACACTGCAAAATAACATGCTCCAAAGTTTCATCCGCTCCACAATAATCACATTTCCCTGATGCATGTTTCCCTATCAAGAACAGTGTGGAATTCAAACCCGTATGCCCAAATCTCAGTCTTGACACCACCACCACCTCCTCTCGCCTACTCCTTCTTGTGGATCTCCTCACTCCCACCCCGCTTTGAATTTTATATAACCACCTTCCCCTCCTGTCTTCTTCCCACTGTTTCTGCCATTTACCTGCCTAAAATCTTCCACCCACTGCACTGCTAATAGAATCGCTATCATTTCTCCTGTAAACACAGACAATCCATTATTAATCCTCTTCCCAATTTTTACCATAAAGTCCGGAATTACTACTGCCACCCTCACTTGACTAGCTGGATTCTTTGAAGCATCCGTATATACTTGCACATACCCATAATACTGATCTATGAAACCCTGAATTGAGTGTAGACCACCTGCCCCGTCCTTACTCTTCTCAAAGAAAAATCTACAGCTGCTTCAGGAAGTATCCATGGAGGGATTGCAGGCACTCACCGACATATGTCTAAGTGGTCCAATTTAAGTTCCCTAGCTCTTCCCCCCACCACCTATCCAAAGCTCTTTAACTCCCTACTGCCCATCTCACAGCAAGGTCTAAGTACATCTAATGTAGGGTGACCCGTCCCCTGACCCTGTAAGTTTGCCCAATATGTCAATTTAAACTGTTCCCTCCTCAACCCTAGTGGCATTTCCCCCATCTCCACCTGCAAGGCTACAGTGGGAGTCATCCTAAATGCCCCTGTACAAAGTCTCAACACCTGATACTGAATCAAATCTAGCTTGCTAAGAGAAGTGTCTGCTGCCGAATTATATGCCAGACAACCATAATCTAACGTTGACCTTATCAATCCAGTGTATATAGCCCTCAGGGACTCCCTATCCGCGCCCCAATCCTTCCCAACCAAACACCTCAAAATGTTCAAAACTTTTTTACACTTATCCATAGTGGTTCAACGGATCAAAAATCTCACGGGTCGGATCGGATCACGGTTTTAAAGTCACGGATCGGATCAATTTTCGGATCAGCAAAAATAAAAAAAAAGACAAAAATTCTACTCGCCATTTACTTATTTAAGTATTTTTTGCCTATTAAAAAACATTCAACTGAAGACTCATTCCACGCACTTATATAAAAACAAGTTAAGGTGCAATATGGACATTATGGACCATGCTGGGCAGCCTCTGCATCCTCTGCACAGAGCCATAAACAACCAGAGGCAGTGGCGGTCCTAGCCTGTTTCGCGCCCCGGGCGAACACCCCCCCCCCCCCCCCCGCCCCACACACACACACACACACACACACACACACACACACACACACACACCCACACATAAAACATATCAAGGATTATACATTGACATAAAACTGTTGTCGGAACCATACTGAATTTCGCCAGAGACACACACACACACACATATGAAGAGAGGGAGAGTATGCATTGTATGCAAACGGCTATGAAACAGCCATCATAATTCATCATACAATGAGAACAGGACGAATCAACAATTAACAAGGACTAATTAATATTAAAATCTGTAACATAATGTATTGTTTGGAATTTAGTCTGTTACTGTTAGTATTTTTACCATTTCTTTTTGGAGCAACTGTAACCCACATAATTTCCTTAGGGATTAATAAAGTATTCTGATTCTGATTGTTTCAGAATGACCTGCCATTATCCAATGACACATCTGCTTACCTGCATCTTTTGCTCGTTTCTCCTCCTCTTGTTTTCCCTTTTTTCTAAACTGAGCACCTGATGGCTTTGAACTTTTCTTTTCTATCTTCCATTGGTTTTAATTTTGCACTCCAGTATGAACACAAATCCCCCAACACGAGGATCACCACAACATAACCTAATAGACCTACACCTTAGTTCACAGATTTGCTTTGTCTAAGGTTTATTTCTGGGATTTCACACAACCTAGGATTCAAATCATGAATACATAATGGACTTGGATTTACATCATTATGAATGAAATGTGCTCTATTTGGAAGCAGCCGGCCCCCTCCCCTTTCGACGGGTTGTGTGTGAAACTTTAAATCATCAAACTGTAAATTATAAATTTTAAATTGTTATTGATCCCTTTACCCCTGGTCCCTAAAGTGTATATTTATTTTCTTACTCTTCTTATATATATTGTTTGTTTACTTGCACTGCTGTAACTGGAGCCTAGTCTCGTCTCTCTATATACTGGACTGTATGTAGCGAAGATGACAATAAAGTTTACTTTGACTTCAGCAGCGAGCAGGCGCACCGAGGGCTAAAGAATTTTGAAAAAACATCGGTGCAAATTATAAGTCTGTATCATAATGTCTGGTGTTTTCGTGTTTGTTGTTTTGTTTTTATTTTGTTTTATTTTGCGAGTTGGTTATTAGATGCTGCTCCAGCCAGCTAGAGAATCCCCCGCCGCCCCGCCCTCTCCTCCCGGTGCCGCAAGCAGCAGGCGCACCTCGCAAACGTGTCGCCCGTATCAAAAACCGCTACTGACCAGAGGAGTCTGTTCAGTGACATGTTGCTTCTCCCAAAGTCAAGGACCAGCAAGTCCTTTGTCCCACACGCCAACAAACTGTTTAACTCCTCGCTGGGGGGGAAACGGGGACAGAGGAGGGGGAACAAGTAGCTGTAGTGCCTTTTCACTGTGCAATAGTTTTTGTTAATATCCAACGGTGTAATAGACTCACAATACTTAAAATGTGCCGTTCCCTTGTATTCTTATTCCTATTTATTCTATTTATCCCTTTTGCATTCTCTGTATTTATAAATGTGTATATATGGTATATTTCTGCTCACATTCTGCAACTTCTGTTGGTGCTGTGCTACTGGAAACTGAATTTCCCGGAGGAACCCACCCGAGGGATAAATAAAGTTTCATCTAATCTAATGTAATCTATAGTGCAGTGCAGGGCTTTGTACCACTCCGCTGTGACGGTCACGTGGCTTTCCGTTGCCCTGGAGCTCCACCCAGGGGCGATTTTAGCCCATTTTTGGGGCATGAATCAAAGCACCCCCAAAGATTTCTTACTTTTTCGACTTTTTTTTTGACAATATTTGCTGTTTGTGTGACACACTACTAAAAATATAAAAAGCATACAGTACTTGGTTGAGACGTAACATTTTAACAACAAAAGTATAGATAACCCCCCCTCCCTCCCAAAATGGTTTGTTCCAGCTCTCCCCTACTCTGGCTCTAGCGTCCTTTTTGCCAGAGTGATGGTGGCTGAGACGCAGCTGAGTAGATGTGTAAGTGCCTGGCTTAAAACTAGCTACATTTAACCTTCAGTTACTCTTTATATAGTTAGGAAGGAGTCAGACCATGTTTCTTTTTAGCTGAAAACCATTACACCAGGTAACCTGCAGTGTTGAAAACGTGTTTTCCGACAATGTTGGCTACCCTACAATCCGTCCTGCTCTGTAGTAAAATCAGCGACATTTGACCGTCCTGTTGCTCCCATTGAAATGTATAAAGCCTATTTAAAATCTAAAACTTAAAATTGTCCGTAGCCTAAAGTTGTTACCACTGTCCTGTTAGAAATGGATACTAACTAGCTAACTGACTGAATGCCCATTAACCTTATAACTCCTGTTGTGTGTGTGTACAGAGAGACAGCCAGGTTTATAAGGGATATAAGGAAGTTTTTTTCAAAAACAGGAGCCACATTCAAGTAAAAGTGTAAAATCAAATGATCCGTGAATCAGGAATAATGTTGGATCAGTGTTTGAATAATTATATCTTTTATTAGATGTGGTTTGGTTATTTGCCTTTTGGTTGAAAGTACACTGAGAGAGGACTTTTTCATTAGTGATCTTAATAGTATTTTTTTATATTAATGTAATTTTTCATCTAATTGTATGCAATCTATTTGTGTATGATTGTCAGTCCAAAGAGGGAGAGGGGAAAGAGGAGATTGTGAGGAGAAAGTAAGAACCAGGTAAGAAAACAGACAGGGAACAGTGACAGGCAAAACAGAAACTGTTAAACTGACGAAGAGAAAAAACCTGGAAGTTGTGTTCCCCCTATATTAAAGGTGCTATACAGAATCTGCTAAATAAAAAAAAAACTGGGTTGAAACATTTTTGACCCTCTTTAACAACATTCCAACATAACATTATCATTGATTGGGGAGATTAAAATTAATGATATATTTTTATGTAGTTCAGCCACAACTCTTCTAAAACCTCAGCCAGTAATAGGTAGGCCAACTTTTGGACCGTCCAGTTGTCTGTATGACTGCCGCAGTACTAGGGGTGGATTTTAATAATCAATTCATTGATTAAAATTGATTCTGGCTTGGATAACGTGATATCGATTCATTAAAATCCTGAATCGATTTTTTTTTAATATAAATGTATTTTTCCCAAAATTCCAGAATCTCAGGTGAAACGTCACAAAATTCTGACAACCACCAAACATTTAAAACAGTAAATGAGAGCAGGTACATGGCTTCTGCACAAAGACGTAAACACAAAGAGCGGACCGCGGGTCAGAATCAGTGAGATGTCGCCTTTCTCACCCGACGGCACGGACACGGTCGGGGCTGACAGCTGACAGCTCGCTGATTCAGATGTTTCGGCGGATCCGCGCTTTGTGTTTACGCCCTTTTTGCGCTGATTCTAAAGCTGTTCGTTTTATCTCTCTCCAAACAATAT